ATGTTATTCTAACTCATTTATTTTAACTAATGTCTCACTGTACACAGTATGGACCAATGATAATCTTTCAAACATTTCATTATTGATAGGTAATTCAGTTTTGTCAGTTTTATAGTTACTTATTGCTGTAATAAGTAACTATACCTTATCTAGCACAGTTTATATTTTTGGGATAGATTCCTGAAAGTTGGATAATTGTATCAAAGCATATTTCTATCTTTATTTTTAATAGGCATTTTTGAATTGTTTTTAAATAAACATATAGCATTTCACACTCTTTCTAGTAATACATGTGACTTTCCCTTTGCCTTCATCCTCACTAGTTTTGAAGGGAGCACCGTGTTGTTGAGAACATCTGGACTGAATCTGTAACTGAACCCAGTTAAGGCTTTTATATAAACTTTTAAGATTCTAGAAGGTAGTGGGTGGAGATGCACTTGTCTTGAGGCCACCAAAGACAAGCCTCAAGGTAAGTGCCCTCACCTATTAGACCTGCCACCAATCAGAAGAGGTCTGCCTCTGTCTTCAGCCCCTCCTTCCTCTCCAGGTAGGGGGCCAGTTTCAGACTTCACCCAGGAAACCCCAAGGTTTTGAACCAACCTTGTTAAAGAATATTTCCCACCATCCAAAAAATAAAATATTCCTAGATTTTTAGCTCTTTTGATTTTGATTTCATTTTATCATTTATCATTTTGATTTTTATAATAAAATCTTTCAACCTTCTGGAAATTGTCTTTGTACATGGAACCTTTTTTCCACCATTGCAATGCCTTTGTCATACTTGTGTAGCCAAATGGTAAGTGTCCTATTAAGAACTTTCCCTGCTTCCAAGCTTTACAGAAAGTGTAAGAATCACAGCAGAACTGAATGTTGGTAAGAACAGTCACTAAATTCTCCAGCGCCAACTCAAAAAGAGAAATTCTTGGCCATTCCGCTTGGTGTGAGAGGCCAAAGCAGTTCAACTGATGGTAACAAAAGATCTTAGAGGGGATACTGGGAACATAAAGAAGTGACCTTTGTGGGGATATGTGAACCTGGTGCACAAGGAAGGTATATAAGTTAGTGCACCCAGCTCCTGCCTATATGACTGGAGGCACCTGGTCTAGCCTGCATCCACTTCACTAGCTGAGGTCTTGCAGAGAATGTGAGGTTGCATTCTCACATTTGCCTATGGCAAATATATAAACAGGAGAAAGACAGCAGACCTAAAAGAAGGTGCACTAGATTACCTTCCTACCTTTTTATTCAAACTTCATGAATTTCCTGTGAGTTATGAGACTGTCTAGTTTCTGAACCAGCTTGCCTGAACCCATGCCTGTCTCCAAGAGGTGCCACAAGGTTTTTGCCTGATCCAACTTGCCTGAACCTACACCTGTCCCCAAGGGGCCCACAAGATCCCTTCAAGAGGTTCAGCAAAGTCCCTGACAGCATCAGGCTGTGAAGTTTCCAACTGTGGGTTTCATGAGGAAGGGCTTGACCCTGGGGCTGGTCAGTCTTTCCAGGAAAATGCAGGTGAGGGCTCTGTAGCCCCTGAAGAAACCACTAACACTATTATGAGATACCTGCCACCCTGTCTGGACAGAGATAAGAACCAGGAGGAAGGAGCAAGAACCTCTCCACACCACAGAGCTGTTCACGTAGAGGAAGAGCAGTCTCAATAACCAAGGAGACAAGGCTACTGAGCCTGGGAGAGAGTGAATGGAGAGACTTTCATTCTCTTCCACCTGCCTGTCCCAGCCTCTGAGAGCAAGGGAAAAGGTGGGAAGAGAAATAAGAAAGGAAAAGCAGCATAACATCTGGATCACAAGCAGACTATCTATCTATCTATCTATCTATCTATCTATCTATCTATCTATCCTTGGATTCCTTTAGAATTATCTTTTCTTAAATAACCCATGGAAAGTCTTAAAGAGTACAGAAAAAAAACTATAAAGAACACATGAGCACAGGAACCTCTACATGAAGATTATGTGTCTGAGGCGGGATGCTATCATAATCACATTTGTTACCTATATTTAGAAAAGATACCTGTTAGTACAACATACTTACTGAGAAGCCCCTCCAATGGGATGTGATGCCCTCTTTATCATACCCTAAATGTCCATACCCAACTGGGCCTAATTTTTTATTTACTATTCTATTGAATTGACCTGTCTGCTTGGTTTCAGTTTGCAATTAAGAGTTTTTTTTCTTTTCTCTATTTCTCTCTCTCTCTTTCACACACACACACACACACACACACACACACACACACACACACACCCTTTGTGGGATAGAAAAATGTGCTATTTTCAGGCTTGGCTGAGTAGCCCAGTTATTTCGACTGTCATCCTGATATGTCCAAGTTGTGGGTTCCACCCCTCCAATTAAGTGGAACATCAAATCAATGGTTCTCCTTCTCTCTCTTCCTTTCTCTCTCTAAAAGTCAATTAAAATGTACATTTAAAAATGAAAGTGCTGTTTTTTTCACTACTTTTTGTTTTTGCATATGAATGATAGATTTTTAATTGTGTTTTATGTTATAACCTGTATTTCAGTAGTGATTTTCCTTCCCTTTTTTTGTTTTTTCTGATAGGTAATCATTTCATCTGCAAACAAGCAGATGATATTTTAACTCTCTTTCAAATTCCTATGCTACTCACTATTTTCTCTTGGCTTATGGCATTATCTAGTCACCCCAACACAGTGTTAGTTAAATAGGGCTAAAAGTATTGGACATAATAGTCCTTCTCTTAAATTTAATAGAAAAGCTTCCAGCATTTCTCCATACATAGGTGCTGAATTGGGGAAGTGGCATTTGCATTTTTATGTTAAGGAATTAGTTCTTAACTCTTCTTCTGGTGTTTTTAACATGAGTGCATTGTATTTTATTACATGGTGTTTCTGCATCAATGGAATTTGATCCTATGATTTTACTCCATAACTCTCATGCCCTTTATTAAGCTACTACTTTTTAAAATACATATTTACTGTTTCTTTCTTTACACAAGAATATGTTTGTTGATTTAAGGGAAAGAAGAAAGGGGAGGCAAAGAGAGAGAGAAGCATATGAGAAATATTGAACAGTTGCTTCCCATATGTGCCACCAGCGGGAACTGAACCCATGACACTTCAGTGTACACCACAATGCTGCAATCAACTGAGCCAGCTGGCCAGAGAAAGCTACTTACTGTCAAGTGCAAATAGTTTGCTCCTATATTTTGCTTCTCTTTGTAGTAATGCTAATGCTTATCATGCACTGCCCCAAGAGTTAGTTGATTTTATATGTGTATTTCTAATCTCCTCAACTTTATTATTAGCATATTCTACTTTGTACATTTCATTAAACATCCCAAAGAGTTAAGGTAAATAAACATTACGTAGTAGATGCTCAGCATTTATTGTTGACCTCCTACAACCCGTGTCTATCATTGCCTGGAAAAATTGTTAATCACCTTTCACTAGGTACATTCCTGCTGGTAACAATCTGGAATGTTAACATCACCACAGAGGAGAAGACATCCAAGGGAAACTCTCATGTAAATGTTACTCCTTCCAAACCACTGGAACAACTTCTTCACTTCTTCAACTAAAATTCTTTTCTTTGAAAACATTCTTAAATGTCCTCATCAGTAGTGAGAAAATCTTAGGACACCTAGAAGGTTTGCTGGTGTCTCTGCAGTGCCACACTTGACATGATTTGACTGGAAAAAAGAACAATCATATACCCAGGAAAGTGTAGTAATTTGCAAACGACCAGCGACTCTGGCAACTACCCCAGGTGCCTGCTGTTTTTTCTCAAGCAGCAGTGAGAGGACAGGAGAAGGTAGAGCACAGTTCATCTCAGGCCTGTACCTCTGAGAGGGTGCTAACTCCAGTCTGAGCTTCACTTACACTGGGCTTCAGGGTAAAGGCTAGAAGGAGCAGCCTTCCTATTTTGACATAATTTCACATATGAATAAGAATGGAAGACAGACATATATAATTAATACGAAAGGAGATCAGAGCTCTTTACTCATCACAGACTCTCAGCCCCTTAGCTCAGGCCCACAGTAAGAAATGAAGGGAGAAAAGGATGGCAACAGACTTACTAGGGCCAAGTTATCCAGGAAATGTAGGTGGGAAAATGTGGGTAAGTAGGTACCCAAAATCCTCAATGTGAGAACTGGATGCAAAGAATAGAAGAGAACTTTCTTCCTTAATCTCTTACCCTCTTGAGTCCCTAATCCTTGATGAAAATATAGGAGACCATAAAACAGGGTTTCAGTATCCAATACATAAAAATATGAGAAATTACCAGATTTTGCACTGGTGTCCAGATCTTAATATAAGCGAGACTTAGATATTTAGAAAAGCATTAGAATTCTCGAAGTTAGCCAACATGAGGTTGATCTGTCAAAGGTGAGGATCTCTTTTTTAAAAGGCATTATAGTTCCCTTCTTTATATATTTAGATAGAATATGGGAGAGGTCTAACTCTTTTAACAAATTTAAAGCTGTTCAGGTTGAGAAATTTAACAAAGCATGATAGACCCTAACCAGAAGCACCCAGTTCTTCTTCCAACCTTTTATTTATGCCCCTCAGAGTGCAGCACAGAGTCATAGAGGCAAAGGACCCACACAGAGGTCCCTGAAGGTGAGGAGAGTGAGGAGGCAGTACCAGGCACTAAGAATATGCAGGCAGTCATCCCCAGAGACAACTTTGAGACTCTGTTTTGTTTTATATCTCTTTGTCTTCTTCTTTCCCCTCTCTGTACATTCTAATTCCTTCAACTGATCATAATGGGTTACCTTGTACTAAGAGGGAAAAGGAAAGGAAAAAATGTAATGAAAAGTTCAGACCACATGGGGGCAGTGCTTCCATTGACAGAAGTGACTGGTTGGAAGCTAGAACTCTGAACAGGCTCCAGAAAGAGGATCTTGAATGATGTCTTTGTTGTGACAAATGAGTTTTGATTGGTTGTGACAAGAGAATGAAGATCACCAGAGGTGTCCACACGAAAAGAAACAGAAGAATCAGGAACAGAGATCAGGGCCCACTGAACACAGCCAGTCCCAAGTCTCCCAACTGAATCCTCAGAGGCTCCAGGAAGAAGCAAGGATGGAGATTCCCCTGGGAGCTTCACTGATGCTCCTGTGTGTGCAGCTACCCTGTGAGTGAGGGGGAGTCAGGGGGAGTGAGAGGGGAGAGGAAGGGCCAAGCAAGACAAATGAGATCCCTCTGATAATGAAATATACCAGGATCCCAGGGACAATCTGGGCTTTATTCTAAGCAATATAAAACAACCAAGGGGAACGAAAAACAGTTCCTTATGCATGAAAACCTCTTCACTCTCCTGAACAGGGTCAAACCAACAACCACAGGTGGAACAGAGCCCAGCTTTCCTGAAAGTCCAGGAAGGAGAGAGCTTCACACTCAACTGTAGTTATACAGACCGCAATTTCGACAGCTTCCAGTGGTTTAGACAGGATCCTGGGGAAGGCCTCAGCAACCTGATGCGAATGCAATCATATGAGAAGGAGAAGGTGAGCAGAAAATTCACAGCCAGAGTTAACACGGAGGGCCTGCATTTTTCCCTGCACGTGAGGGATTCTCAGCTCCTGGACTCCGCCACGTTCCTGTGTGCAGCAAGCACACAGTGTGGCACCTGCACCTGCACCTGCACCTAAATCCTGCAGAGCCCTGCACTGCCCCCTATAGGGGCTCCAGGACACTGACTGTACCTTGGGTCTGAGCAAAGAGAAAAGTGAGGGGCTTTTTATAGAAAAATGTCAAATATTTTTATTTGAAACCACATGCACAGGGATACATAATGTTGTCGAATACTATCTGATGTATTTTGTTTCTCAGCGTGAAGTTCTTACTCTGTTAAAACCAGTACAAAAGCCTGAGGTTTAATATCACAAAGGAGAGAGCACTGAAAAGAATAAAGAACAGAGTAAAATTCTTGCCATTGAATTCTCTGTCAGACTTTTAAGAATATATTAAAATACGGTATCTTAAAAGACATGACCATCACTTTAGTAACAAAAGAAAATGTCATATTTTGACATTCTGAAAAGATTGACATAGAAGGTCAAATACTAAAACCTGAGGGAAATTGGTAGAACTTTTATAAAGGGCACCATGAAAAGAGAGCACAATATGATAGCTATTCTGGTTCCTCCTTAAGAGGGGAAAAGGTCAACCAGATGACTGGAGAAGAGTCAAAGGGGTATGACCAGGGGTTATAAACACTGAGTCTTTGCCAAGGGCCAGCAGCCTGTCTTTTCTAAGGTCAGAACCCTGAGCAGGTGGGGTGGGAGGAGGATGAGTCACATTCAGGGTGACCATGAACTGAAGGAGCATGTGTGTGGGCACAAGTTGTTGGGATCCTTACATCTTACATCCATCCCCACTGGAGAGCATCGCCTGAAGAGGAAGCACTGAACAAACACCTGAGCAGAACAGTCTGTGCAGAGGATGTCACCAGCCTCTGTCCAGTTCAGTGCTTGAGCAATAGACTGTAAACAGATTAGCCAAGGTGACAGCATAGAGGTTCTCCATGAGCCCAGAAGAATGCTGTCTCACCAAGCTGGATGTGGCTATTTCTGCTGCCAAATCATCCATCTGTCAGCGGTAGATACCATACTGAGCCTTCAATATGGAATCCCCCCTTTTTTAAGAGATTCCCAGACACTGGTAGGCAAGTAGATTACACTGGACCACTTACACCTGGAGGTGACATACATCTTTTATTATTGGGGTTAATACATACCCCGGGTGTGAGTTTGCCCTTCTTCCCACAGGGCCACACACAGCAACACAAACTGAGGGCTCAGAGTGACTGACTATCAAAGGATTTCTCATCTCTCCACATGAACAGACCCACAGAGTAACACGGAGGTAGAACAGTGGGCACGTGACCATTGCATATACTGACCCTACTGCATAGACTGTTATCCACCAACCACTGAACATGGAATAACAACAAAGGCTCAGCTGAAGCAGGAGAGGGTGGGAGCTATTCTTCAAGATGGTGCTGAGTTCCTAAAGCAGCCCTCAGTTGGCAGTGGACAGTGAGATCATGGATTGTTCTACCTCCTTTAATCCTCCTCACTTGGGAAATCTCCAAAGGGCTTTCTATACCAAATCCCAGACCTACCCAGCTGGGTTGAGCTCCAATTGCTCGCAGTAATAACTGGTTGATGACAACACCCTGCATTTGCTTCCTTCCCTTCTCTTGTTCACTTCCTACCACCATTTGACAGAATCACTTGCACACAAACTGCTTACACAAATTCTCACATTGGAACTGACTTTTGGAGATCCAAAACAAAGATATAGGAATTCAAATCAGAGGACAAGAATGGAGATGATCTAGATGAAATTCTGTTGCCTCTTCTTCCAGTGCTATCAAACTGGGTTTGGGGGCACAAGACATTCTAGCAGCCTCATTCAGGGCAGGTCCCAACTGTCACAACTCCCTGTACACTGAGTGGAGAGGCTAAGCCCCAACCACTGTGTCACAGAGAACCATGCTGCCCACATACTACCTGGTGTGACAGGACCCCTTCTGTATGGCTTAGGATGCAACTCTGGATTCAAGTATCTGTCAGTCCCTCTGGAAATGCAAACTTCTAATGTATCACAATATGTTTTCCTTAAAAATGTTTTTTATTCACAATATTTTCTTAAAATGGAATGAGAAGTGAAGCACTCTTAATGAGTACTTTAAGATAATTTAATGCTGATGAGAATTCTTGAGATTGTTACTTCAGATTTTTCTGAGGCAGCACCAACATGGACTAATTATCTGTAAGTGCCTGTGGGAAAATAGGCTCAACTGGACCTGAGGTCAACAGCTTCCACTCTAGTGAGTGCTTTTTTCAGTTATAATAATCTTTCTTCACTCTTTACTTTAAGAAATTATAAAAATATAAAAATTGAACACATGAATAAGACAAGCCTTATTACCCATAATTAATTGTTCACATATATCATAGTTGCTATGTCATATATATTTTAAAAAGGAAAGGAAAGTTAGAGTTTGCCATTTTTGCAAATGAAACGCTGCCACTTCTGCTCAACATTGTAGGTCCTGACTCCTCTCCAAGACTAGGCCTTATCAGAAATTAATTTGCCAGCTCTTTAGTCTGTAGTTTTATTCTAAAATAAAAGGACTCAGAAAACATCATTTACTTTCATTTAAAATTATAATCAAGGGTGGGAGGTGGGAATGGCTGGGGTATAAGGAATGGTGGGTGGAAAATGGAGACAACTGTACTTGAATAACAATTAAAAAAAGAAATAATATTATAACCAAGGGTGTATTTTCTGAAAGACCAAAAAGTGTTGGGAAAACTCCGCACTGAGACTTTGTCTCCCTCCCACCTGTGACACCCTTTCCTGTCACCAGCACAGAGAAGCACCCAGACCAGACCAGAGCACAGACTCCTCACTCTGCTGGAGACCTGTCAGCATGACGCCTGCTGCCTTGCTGTGGGCAGCCCTGGTCTCTGCCTGTCTGGGTAAGGAAGGCATAAGTCTTTGTTTACAATGCTTTCTACTGGGGCTCAGAAACAAGAGGACATTAACAGCACAGGACCTGCATGTCCCACAGAGCCCCTCTGTGGGGAGCCTCAAAGCTGACAGTTTCTGCCTGAGGTTTGGGTCAGGAAGAGTAAGGGCAGGTGGGGATGGGAACCAGCCTTGAGTCTGCCTGCTCTGTCTGTCTGGTGTCACACCCAGTGCAGTCAGTCCTTTCTGTCTTCCTTCCCACAGGATCCAGTGTGGCCCAGAAGGTCAATCAGCCTCAGCCAGAAATGGCTGTGCAGGAGGCAGGGACTGTGACCCTGGCCTGCAAATATGAAGCTGGTAGCAGTAATTATTATTTGTTCTGGTACAAACAGCCTCCCAGTGGGGAGATGATTCTCATTATCCGCCAAGAAGTTTATAAGGAACAAAATGCAACAAATGATCGCTTCTCTGCAAACTTTCAGAAAGAAAGCAAATACTTTGGCCTCAGGATCTCAGACTCCCAGCTGGAGGATGCAGCGATGTATTTCTGTGCTCTGTCAGAGGCACAGTGAGATGAGTGACAGGGGGAGGCGTACAGAAACCTCAGACCACAGCACGGGTGTCAGAGGGGAGGGGAGAAGTGGTTGGGGAAACAGGAACATAGAAAATCATTGTCTTCTTCTGGGAATAAAAGCTACTTCTATCTGAATATAAGAAACAAAGAGAGATGAATGTCGACAATCTTTACTCCTTTCAAAAATAACATCATGTGTAGTGTTTTCCAGTGTTACAAAACTTCTTCATGCACATATCACATGTAAACCTCTTACCTTTGTGTGGTATATGTGACAGATTCCACTTCCTGAGCACTTCCTTTTTCCAAAACATCTTTATAATTTACCTAGGAGCAACATACTTCCAGAAATCCTAAACTTTATAATTTTGTTCATTGAAGGCTTTATTAAAAATGTATTTCTTTTTATATTATTTTTTATTGTTGTTCAAATACAGTTGTCTCTATATTCCCAGCATGACTTTCCCCTGCCTCACCCACCCTCACCCCCCACTCCTAATCCTACCCTTCTTGGCTTTGCCCATGGGTCCTCTATACATGTTCTTTGATGACCCTCTTTTCTTTCTTCTGTTATCTTTTCCCCCTCCACTGTGGTTAATGTCGGTTCTTTAATTACATGTTTCTGGTTCTATTTTGCTTGCTTGTTTGTTTTGTTGATTAGGTTCCACTTACAGGTGAGATTGATCATATGGTGTTTGTCTTTCACTACCTGACTAATTTCATTTAGCATAATGCTCTCCAGTTCCATCCATACTGTCACGAAGGGTAGGAGCTCCTTCTTTCTCTCTGCTGTGTAGTATTCCATTGTATAAATGTACCACAGTTTTTCATTGCTCATTTAGTGATGGGCACTTAGGCTGCCTCCAGTGCTTGGCTCTTGTAAATTGTGCTGCTATAAATACTGGGGTGCATAGGTTTTTTTGAATTAGTGTTTCAGTATTCTTAGGGTACAATTTCAGCAGTGGAATTGCTGGGTCAAAATGCAGTTTCAGTTTTTAGTTTTGTGAGGAAATTCCATAGTGTTTTCCACAGTGGCTGCATCAGTCTGCATTCCCAAGAACAATATACTAGGGTTCCCTTTCTCCACAACCTTGTCAGCACTTAATGTTTGTTGATTCATTTATGATGGCCATTCTGACTCATGTGAAGTATGTCACTGTGGTATCTCACTGTGGTTGTAATTTGTGTCTCTCTGATGGCTAATGATGCCAAGCATCCTTGCATATGTCTCTGGGCCCTCCAGGTGTCCTCCTTGGAGAAGTGTCTATTCAGATTTTTTGTCCATTTTTTAATTGGGTTTTTTTGTCTTACTGGAGTGGAGTCATATGACTCCTTTATATATTTTGGAGATCAAACCCTTGTCTGAGATATCACTGGCAAATATATTTCCCCATACAGTTGGTTCCCTTTTCATTTTGCTGATGTAATTCTTCAGCTGTGCAGAAACTTATTATTTTGATGATGTTCCATTTATTTATTCTTTCCTTTATGTCCCTTGATCTAGGGGACATGTCAGTGAAAATATTGCTGCATGGAATATGTGAGATTTCCCTGCTTATGTTCTCCTCTAGAACTTTTATTATATCATGACTTATA